ATGACCCTGCAGTTCCTCTTCTAAGCATATATCTAAGAGAAATGAAAACTTATGTCCACATAAAACTGTGTAAATGAATATTTATAGAAGCATTATTTATAATAGCCAAAAGAAACAACCCAAATGTCCACCAACTGATGAATATCTAAACAAAAGGTGGTATATCCGTACTATGGAATATTACTCAGCCCTTCAGGGATATTTGGCTGTCTTGGGAAATTTTGGCGCCATCTAGTGGCTGAAATAAGGAATGCTGCTAAACATCCTGGGATGCACAGGATGGCCTCCCCTCACCCTCCCATAACAAAGAATTATCAAGCTTAAAATGTCAATAGGGCTGAACTTGAGAAACCCTGGTGTACATATGTACATTATATGATTAGCATTCTGTGCATATGATTTGCATATCAGTTAGCATTCTGTGCATATGATTTGCTTACTCTCCATCTTACATTATATTATAAAACAGCAGCAGTTTAAACTAAGACCAACAAGCATGTGGAGAATGCAGAAGTAGCCAGGCCTCAAAACCAGCTGGGCAAGCAGCAGTAGTATACTTTGCTCATGAATTTGAAATGAAGGTGCAAAGTCAGTGCTAATGGCCAGATAATGATTCTAACACCCTGTGATTAAGTACAAAGTGCTAGGGAACTTTCGTATAATGAGGTATACCCCAGCTGAGTCAGGTGGTAAAGCAATAGAGAAAGTAGTAAAGTTACATAAATTGGCTTTGAATTAGGCTTGTGATTATGCTTCTTGTCTTAATCCGTTGACCGCTTGGAAAGCATGAACAACAAAGAGCTGAATTTGTAATTTTTTTGTAGAGCTTTTGTAGAACTACAAAATTGTAGAAAAATTTTGTTGAAAGAAGGAAATAGGGTGTTTTCTTTTGTTGTTGTTTCTTGGCTCTCTGCCTCTGTATTACTTTAAGGGAGAGAAGGAAAATGCATGAGATAAGAGAGAATGAAAGAAAGTGGAAGGCAAGTGGAGGGAAGGGAACAGACTTTATTATTAATAAAAAAAAATGTTTAGGGCACCTGGGTGGCTTGGTCGGTTAAGTGTCTGACTTCACCTCAGGTCATGATCTCACAGTGTGTGGGTTTGAGCCCTGCGTTGGGCTCTGTGCTGACAGCTCAGAGCCTGGAACCTGCTTAGGATTCTGTGTCTCCCTCTCTCTATGCCCTTCCCCAACTCTCACTCTGTCTCTGTCTCTCTGTCTCAAAAATGAATAAACATTAAAAAAATTTTTTTTAAAAAGGGGGTTGTCATCCTCTCTCTCACTTTAAAAAAAAAGTTAAAGTCATCCTAAAAGGAAATTAATTATTTCACTTTTCCTTACATGCAACTTAATAGCTCAGAGTGGTCTTGATGCCAATAAATAAAGATATTTTGGAGGAATGGAAAGAGTTAAGGGAGCTATCCCCAAAGTTCCTATGTTTTGTTAAAAATTTGATATGAAACATTTCTTTTTATTTATTTTTTAGTTTTGTGAGGGAGAGAGAGAGAGAGGCAGAGAGAGAGAGGGAGACAGAGGATCCAAAGCAGGCTCTGTGCTGGCTACAGAAATCCTGATGTGGGGCTTGAACTCATGAATCACGAGATCATGACCTGAGCTGAAGTTGGCTGCTTAACCAACTGGGCCACTCAGGCACTCCATGAAACATTTCTGATAAACAAAAAAATTATAGAAAATAGTAAAATAGACAGAAATATACCCATTGCTGAGATTAATACTTGTTAATATTTTGCTAGATTTACTTCTGATCTTTCCTTTTAAATAAATAAAACATTACAGCTACTTCAGCTATAAACTTTCAGCTTTAATTCCTCATCTCTTCTTTCATTCCTCTCTGGAAGTAGGTGGTTTTGGGGCATATTTCCCTTGTGCTTTTACACACACACACACACACACACACACACACACACACACACAATGTATACATATACATATATCTTTATATGTATGTATTTGCCACTTGATTTTTCTCTTTATTATTGAGCTATATCTACATGTAGATCTAGTTATTTGGATACAATATAGGATTCTACCGTATAATAAACCTCTGTGTGTTTTATTCTTTCCATGACTGCAGGATGGTTAAATAGTGTTCAAGAAGTATCTTTGTATGGGCATCTTTGGGCTTCTGCAGGGACCCATGTAGACGAGGAAGTGCAGGGTCACAGATACACGGACGTTCAGTTCACGTTTACTAGGTGTCACCAAGTTGCTGTCCAAAGTGGCTGTACCAGTTTTGCACTCATCATCTTTGTAGGAATCCATAAATTTTGGCCAAAACTTGGTGCCAAGAGACTTTGTACTATTTACCAATCTGAGAAGGGTAAAACGGTACCTCATACAATTGTCATTAAAAAAAAAAAATAGACTGAGAATGATCCATCCCTTCCCTCAACTTTTCACACCTTTCTCTCTTAGATAGTCATGAAGAGTGAATCGTCACAACAATTGCAATAGTAATTGTCTGGATTTGAGACTGAGCAGAAATGATAAAGGAAAGACACACATTTTTGGATTCCAAGCTTCTGGAGTCCTGCCTATTGTCTCCATAAGTTTAGTCCCAGCCCTGTGCACCGAGCCTGGCACAAGGAGAGTGTCCAAAACTGTTGCTCAGTGGGATGTATCATCTTCTTGCGGGGGTGTCAGAATGGGAAGCAGTGCATGCGACTGTGAAGTTTAAGTAATAAACAAGTTAAAAATGTATTTTTAAAAATGTAAAACGTAGAGAAAAGCATTTTCACAGAGGCATTGCAGTTGCAATTGATTTCTGAGAAAAATTCCAGAGTGATCTATGTGAAACCTGAAAATTAATTATAATAACTTCTGTTTATTTGTACATAGTACTCTTCTACGTGCCAAGGACTTGAGAAAGAAAAGAGCAGTCCTTCACATCAGGTAACTAGTCTGACACTTACAGCAAGGGCTCAATGTTTTTAAAAGCTAGCCTGACACTCACAGCTAAGCCATGTTGTTCCCTTATAGACATAAACAATCTCACAGAACACCAAAATCAGATAAGGGCACTTGACCTTGCTGTTGTTTGTGCATAGATAAAATTGCAAGTGGTTTTGGGTCTTGTTTTGTCTCTCTTCAAGGCAGAGTGCCCTTATCTCATAGATATCTCTGAACAACTCCACTTGTTCAACTACAGGTCTTTCTCCTGGTGGTCTTTGGTGGGAGACGCTTTCACAGACATTTCTATCTCATTTAAGCCTGTTAGCTATTATTATTATTATTATTATTATTATTATTATTATCCCCTTTTGCAGATGGGAAGGCAAAGAAAGAAAGTTTAATGTCATCTACATCAGATAGCTCGTAAATGACAGGGATAAAACCTGCCACCTGGGTCTAGTGGTCATTAAGACCTCATGAATTACTTCAGTTCTCCGGACCCTGCTGTTCTGGATTTCCCCCTAAAGATTAGGTGCTCTTTGAAGAAGGAGACTGGCACAGGAAGTCTGGTAGAGTAAAAACAAATAGACATTAAAAAACAAAAGAAAACCCAATGACTATAGCCTGAGGCTTACTTGCTAGTAAGGTCCCTCTTCTGAACCTCTGTGCCAATCTTCCCAGTTACTTGTTTCTTGTCCCCAAATCAGTACTGCATGTTTACCAGTCTTGGCCCACACCACCTCTCTGTAGTCAGAAGTTGGATAACTTAAGGCAAGAGTTCAAAGGAAAAGATGACTTTAAAAGGGGGAAAAACACAGTGATGTGTGGGAAAACCCTAATCTCGAGGCTTGCCCTTCGGCATACATAGCAAACTCTCTCGCATGGTTTCAGCTCAAGGCCCTTCACTGCAGGCTCTTGGAAGTTTTCGGCTCTATGCTCTTGAGTGCTCTTGGCCTTGCTTCCAGCTCTGAATGCCTCACATCTGATGTCTTGCCACTCTTGCCTGCCTAGTGAAAATCCATGGACTCTTACTTAAGCCTTTCCAGCTCTGCTCCTTCAGATTTAATATTCCCCCTCTTTGTTCTCAATGAGACTTTAAAACAACTGCTATACATTTGTGTTATTTTGTTATTTGTGTAAGGGTTTGTGAAGCACAGATGTGAGCTCCTTAAGGACGTGGCCTAGACCTTTCTGATTTGTAGTGGGCTCCTCTACCACTCCAGATAGGGCTCTCAGCAGTTGGGTACTCAGCAGGAGCTCGGTACATCCAGGCAACATACTCCTTGGAGAGTTCTGATTGCTGTTGTTCTCACCTGCCTTTCAACGTTTATTTATTTTTGGGACAGAGAGAGACAGAGCATGAACGGGGGAGGGGCAGAGAGAGAGGGAGACACAGAATCGGAAACAGGCTCCAGGCTCTGAGCCATCAGCCCAGAGCGTGACGCGGGGCTCGAACTCACGGACCGCGAGATCGTGACCTGGCTGAAGTCGGACGCTTAACCGACTGCGCCACCCAGGCGCCCCTCTCACCTGCCTTTCAAGGGCAGATCCTAGAACTACTTTTCCCAGTGGCCATCGCACCAGGGCGTCCCGAGTGGGGCGAGAGAGGGTTAGCAGATGATTTCACATTCCAACGCTGCTCGAATGGTGGTGCAGAGGGTCTCGCTTGCCTTTCAGCTTAGCAGGAGCCGGTTCTCCAAATTCCAAATAAACGCAGACAGGTAACTTCCTAATAGGTTTTCCGCGCTTTCGCGACCTAATCCCGCCCTTGCCTTTAAGGTAGCTGCCACGGTTGAGTGGCGAAATGAACGGGCGGCACAGCCAATCATGTTTCGTTCTGCCCGGAAAAGGCGGATCCCGGGAATGTCTTTGACGAAGGGGCGCGGGATTGGCGGGTCCCGAGCCGTCAGCCGTGGCGGGAGTTTTCGGATGTGTTGGCGGTGGCCCCGGCAGCAGCAGTTGGGCTGAGCTGGGCCCGCACGGCTGGCGGCGGAACCGGGAAGGCTAATCCGCCGCAGATTCCCGCGCTCACAGCTTGTGGCTTGCATTTCAGTCGCCTTCTTTCCGTCCCCGAGAGCTGCGCAGAAAGATGGATCGGCACCGGCCTCGGCTGCACCACCCGAAGCAGGGCTCGGCCGCCGGGGCCCCCTACCCCTCCTCAGCCTCGCTCCGTAGCTGCCGGGAAAGCAAGATGCCGGGCCGGAAGGGCCCTCAGCACCCTCCGCCCAGCGGCGCGGAGGAACCTGGAGAGAAACGCCCCAAGTTTGTAAGTTTCGCCTGGAGCTTTGGTGGGGCAGGTCCTGCAGGGCCGAAGGGCTGCGGCTCAGGTCCCAGGATCCTTCAATTTCATGAAACTCTGACTTGGCTGACAGCCGAGTGGGTGGGTGGGTCCACGGTGTAAACAGGAATGGGTCGGGGGCTACATTTTGTTCTAGATTGCTAGAGCTTCCAGTCTCCTAATAGATTTACGACGACAGGGTCCAGTTGGACCCACTGCCAAATACACTCACTGGTCACTGTGTTGCCCCACATTTGTTCTGGCTGACATGAAAAGCAGTTCAAATGTGAATGTATTGACGTCACCTAGGTGAACCTTGCATTTTTTTGAGTCGAACTTCTCCCCACCCTTCTGGCTTCCGAGGGGATGAGACATAGCAAAGTGAACTTTTAGGGGGTAGTATTTCTTTTTCTGCTGTAATTTTCCAAGGAGAAACAACAGGTTTTAAAACTTGGCGGGCTATGTAGTCACTGCTAAGGAATGTTTTGTTTATATTGGAAAGAAACTCGCTATTCTGGTTGCTTCTCTTACTTTAACACCCAAGGGAGATGTCATGATCAGCGGTTTGTGAATCTTTTTGTTGGTGTCCACTAGTGAAAGAATAGGCAGTGATGACTGCTTTGTAAAAATGTGTGTAAATAAATCACAGAAGGTTAATAGATTTGGGATAAATCTAACAATTGAAAATTTAATATTTGACCCCTCCATTTAATTAGGAATATGGAGTTATGGAATATAACTTTTTCAGTTTTAGGCACCGTTATACAACACAGCATGTGCCTTCTGTGAACAAATAAATCTCGTTAGGAATTTAAGTCAGGATACATACCTTAAGGGAATAGACATTTGTGGAGCAGGAGTGAGTTGCTAACAATTAAAAGTAATGGTTGAATAAAACTGGGAGCAGAGCTATGAGATGTATCAGAATACTGAAAATGAGGGACAACATGGATTAATTTTTCTAAATTAAGTAGCAAGAGGGCCATAGGACTGGCAGAATTTGCAGGAGGGTCAACTATGTTGTTGATTGTTTTGTTGGTAGAGTTGAGTTAAATTGGCGAGGCAGGATTCTAGCCAATATGAGAAGAATCCTGGGGCAATGACTTTTCTTCCTTTTAGAGTCTTTTGCTTGGGTTAATGATGTCATTCCATTTTGTTTCTTCTATGCTCCAGAATACATGAGGTATTTTGGATTTTCGTTTGGATTTTCTGTGACTTCCAGCAAGGAGGTTATGAAAACAGAAGTGAAATAATTAATATTTAGGTTTAGTTTCATTGAAGGATGTATCTACATGATTTGGATTCTAGCTCTTCTCTAGCTCTAGTTTTTCATTTCTTAAGTATGTTGTTTTTATATTTTTTAAATTTTTATTTATTTTTGAGAGAGAGACAGAGCGTGAGCGGGGAGGGGAAAGAGGAGGAGACACAAAATCTGAAGTAGGCACCAAGCTGTCCACGCAGCTCGAACTCAAATACAATGAGATCATGACCTGAGCCAAAGTCAGACACTTAACTGACTGAGCCACCCAGGTGCCACTCTTAAGTATGCTAAAAGGGTTATTGTAAAGATGAAAAGACCTCTAAAAGCAATACTTTTGAAGCTTTAAAGTTAATAAACATATCTAAAAATACAGTTTGTTTTTATTTTTTATTTTTTTTAATGTTTATTTATTTTTGAGAGGGAGAGAGAGCACGTGAGAGGGGGACAGAGGATCCGAAGCAGGCTCTGTGCTGAGCCACCCAGATGCACCCAGTGTTTGTTTTTAGATAGGAGTCTGATTTGAATCATGTCTTCATAATTAATTTAGAGGTAATTTGGACTGTTTGTAATCCCTGAAACTAATTTAGATACTTATAGTTTCTTTAGCTATATTTTCCATTTCACTAATTCTGTTATCAGAGATAACTTGCTTGGAATATTTAACTTGCTTGGATATTTAATTTAACTTGCTTGGAATATTTAACTTGCTTGGAATATTTAAGTTTAGCAATTACAGTTGCCTGTTGAACAACATGGGTTTAAACTGCACAGGTTAACTTAATGCATGGATTTATTACAGTGCAGTACTGTAAATCTGTTTTTTCTTGCTATTTTCTTAATAACATTTTCTTTTCTCTAGCTTTGTTGTAGGAATACAGTAGATAATATATGAAATATGCCTTAATTGGTTATCAGTAAGGCTTCCAGTCCACAGAAGGCTATTGGTAGTTAAGTTTTTGGGGAGTCACAAGTTATACATGAATTTTTGGCTGTGTGAGGGCTGGAGCTTCTAACCGCTGTATTGATCAAAGTCATTTGCTATGTGACTCTTTTTATTCTTTATTTGATAGTTCTGTTATGTGCACTTTTTGGACTATCTACATTGATTGCACCCGATGGCTTACTACTCTCTCTTCCCATGCTTGTAAGCTCATTGCTTTATCTTAGCCTATCTTCCAAGAGGCATTATGGGCGATGCTTTTCTCAGAGTGCCACTGATTTGGGATCACCTCTACCTGAAGTAGGACTCTTAGGGGGCTTTAACAACCCTAACTCTGTTCCTGGCCTGTGTCTCAGTATGCCAGGCTGAAGGCTGCCTTCTGAGTAGCTCTTCCCAGTCGACCTATTTCACACCTGTTCTCAGTCTCACCCTAGTAACTCTTGTTTTGAGGATGGAGACCATCCCTTCCTCATGAGATCTTAGCAATGCCTCTACAAGTGACTGTTCTGTAGTTCAGCTTGCTCTACTACTAGATGTCAAGGCACTTCTTGGCTTTTGCTTGAGTTGTTGGGGGCAGCTGCTTTTGACTGGAACAAGGAACAGAGTTTGGTGATACGACGGGAAAGGCGATAATATAGGTGTTTAGCACATTCCACAAAGCTGCAAGCTGGTAGTAGAACTGAGTGGTAAATTGGCCACTTGCTCTGTTCTTGGGTTGGAAGGCATGAGCTCTGGGGCCCACTGAAATCTTGGTTCACTTTAAGCCCTGGTAAAGCAGAACAGTCCTTGTTTCCTACTGTGTGTTTAGTCGCGAGTCTCAAGGTACTGTTGCCTTGTGTATACAAGTTTGTTGTATAGAATTTCTCCCCATAGATCTGTGTAAACAGAAATTCATCTGTTGTGAGTGTAGGACAGTTTGGCCACACAAGAAACCCACTACTTTGGGGCTGCTTGTGAACTAACCGACTTGATTTCAGTAGAAAATATGGCAAGCAGTGAGTATTGAGATGCTGAGGCTAGTAACCGGGGACAGGATGAAACCATGGGAGATTGGCAGGCCAAGGCAGGTACCTGGATGAAGGTTTTGCGAAGGTAGATAGAGTTCAGTAGGATCATGAAGTTTTGTCCTGCCGTAGGTCACACTCATAGGACCTGAGCCTGAGTCCTGTTTCCCTTGTAGAACAGAACAAAACAGTTGCCCTACTTGACGCTGGGCACTTCAGTCCTACTCTTACGAACACACAGTGCACAAGGTGGTGGCCCCCATATCTGTGTTGAGAGAAGGATGTGTGGCTTCCGGAGAAGCCGTGGGTCAATGTTTTGACAGGAGGCCTGTATGTTTGGTGGTCCCAGTTGGCAGAGTGATTCTTCTTTTTAATTAGGAATATCCTTTAAAAGTTGTCACAGACTTTGGTGTAAATCTTGCATCTAATCTTATACTTTCCATTGAACAGATTGTTCATTATTGTTTAATTATGTCATTACTGTACCTTCAATTTTGGTTGTGAGAGATATTTCACCCTGTTCAGTAATATATATGTGTCTACCATTTTGGACATCATTACTAATAACAGTTACTTTAATAAATGAATGAAGCTCTGTTCTAGGTACCATATATGTGTGTGTGTGTGTGTGTGTGTATATATATGCACCATATATATGTATATCAACTCCTTTAACCCTTACAACAACCCTATGAGGTATGTGGTATTATTAGTCTTGTTTGCTGGATGGAAAAAGCAAAATACAGAGGTTGAATTGCCTTAGGTCATACAACTGCCTGTTGCTGAGGACAGGATTTGAACCTTGGCAAGCTGTCTCCTACATTCTTAGTCACTGTCCTGTATTGCTCTTCTATGCTGTTGGGAATTTTAACCTTTACTACTTGTCTCACTCAAGAGCCATTAAAAATAGTAATACCTTTAATGAGTACAGAATTAGTGATTTCCTGATCACAGGCAGGTTGTGAGGTGGCAGGAGGAATCCAGTGGGAGAACTATTGGAGGAGGGGCAACTGAAATTGGAGTAGGCATGATGGGATTAGTGCATGGCCACCTCTTGGCTTTGGGTTCATTTGGAGGCAGCTGTGGCAGGCTGAAAAATGACCCCCCCCCACCCCCCATAGAAGATAACCAGGTCTTAATCCCTCAAACCTGTGAATGTTGCCCGCCATTGCAACAAAAAGATTTTTAAATTAAGGGTTTTAAAATGGGGAGATTACTCTGGATTACTGGGCTGGGCCCTACATGCAAACAAACATAGGTGTCCTTGTAAGAGGGAGGCAGGGGGAAATTTGACTACAGAAGAGGAGAATGTGATGTGACTCAAAGGCAGAGGTTAGTGGTGCAGCCACAAGCCAAAGAATGCTGTCAGCCCTAAGAAACCAGAAGAAGAAAAGAACTGGTTTCCTCTAGAGCTTCCGAGGGAGAGCGGTACTGCTAACACCTTGGTTGGAGCCCAGTGAAACTGATTTCTGACTTTAGGCTTCCAGCACTGAGAGAATACATTTTTGTTCTGAGCCATTAAGTTTGTAGGAATTTGTTTTGGCAGCCACAGGAAATGAACACAACAGGCATAGTTATGAGGGTGACCATGTTAAAAGGTTTGGTTTACCAGTTCATCTATGTGTATTTTAGGAGAACTGTCAGATTCACCTAAATGTCTTCCTTTTGGTAACATTTTCTTTTGGACCGTGATTTGGGGGGATATAAGATAACAGTTTGGTCCTCTGGAACAGCAGCTAGAACTTGATTCCAACTTGTTCTGCTGCCTCATTTTCGAAGTTGC